GAAAGGAAAAACCTTGGTTTCCGCTTTACTTCTAGAAAAACAAAAATTAGATGCGAAATTTTCCTCATTTTGAGAAAAAAAATTCGCTTTGTATCTGATCGAGATGGTATTTCGATAAATATTCCACCTAAATCATATACAAAGCGAATTTTTAAAAAATCAGATGAAAAATAATTTAAATATAAATAATTATTTAGTTTGAACATATTTTAATTGAAATATTGTCTTTTAGTTATGAACAACTTTGTTTAATTACATAAATAAATCAACTGATTTTCAAACTGCCTTACAAAAGAATTTTTTTCAAAACATGACTGATGAATTTACACATAAGAAATTAGAAGGAAAAACCAAGCTATTTTGAATTTTGCCGTGTCGAATCATAAGGAACAACAGTCTTCCGTTGCAGAAACGACATTTTATTAGAGGCTACGCCTTTACAAAACAAGATGGCGATCAAATTAACCGAGCGAAAAATAAAATAGTTCGGATCAGATGAAAAAGACTGTAGACTGCGACTTCTATGGTTAAAGACAAGCTTATGATTTACAGCAAAAAAATATGTTTAACTGTCAACATTAAAAGTATTTAAAACTTATACATGGTAAGTAAATATATCATTATTAAAATATTCGATATAATATTAAGTAAAATTGACAATATTAATTAAAGTATTCATGCCAAAGATAAACGAGAAGTACCGACATCCGAAAGCTGTAATTTGAATTGTCAGAATCCAAAGTATATTCCTGTATTTATGTATTATTTAAAATACTTTTGTATTAAAATACTTATGTGTTAATCGGAGTAAATGTGCATGACACAACCGATAAAAATGCGTTTTGTCATTGTAAGGATCCGATGCTAATAGATTAAAAGGAATAGCAAAACGTCACTTCACGTAATAGACGATCGACCAATAAAATGTTAATATTTAAACGTTGGGCTTATAATTTTATAAATTCTCGATATTTGAAATAAAACCTTTAAAGGGACCACAAAAGAGGTGGTCGGTTGTACAAAGAACTGTTGAGGATACGCAGACAATTTCTACATTTTCCGCTAGCTTTATGTTGCGAAAATCCTTCTCGTTGTAAATCTAATCGAAATTGCAGAATTTGGAATTGCCAAAACGATCCAAGGAATTTTTTTTAAAGTTTCAGACTTCTGTACCGCTCATCGCGATACTAAATATGTTAAATTTCATCCAATTTTGTTGGTTGGTCTTGGAGATATTAATCATCAAATTTGGCATTTTAACATTAGAACGTGTAGCTGAGCACTAATATCGAGCGCTGTAGCACAGTCAAATCACTTCTTTCGTGTTAAATTAATTATATTTTAAAAATTAAAATAACGAAAAATATTCAATTATTGGCTTACCTCCAGATACAGACGAATTCTCTCCATATTTGTTCGATGTCGAATAATTTTCCTGTTGTTTCCTTCCGTTTCTCTTTTTCTTTCCTATTGAATATATCATAAAAAGAGAAATAATAATTAAACTTAACAGAATTTNCGCTGTAGCACAGTCAAATCACTTCTTTCGTGTTAAATTAATTATATTTTAAAAATTAAAATAACGAAAAATATTCAATTATTGGCTTACCTCCAGATACAGACGAATTCTCTCCATATTTGTTCGATGTCAAATAATTTTCCTGTTGTTTCCTTCCGTTTCTCTTTTTCTTTCCTATTGAATATATCATAAAAAGAGAAATAATAATTAAACTTAACAGAATTTGGAACGAACTCAACAGACACATGGTCAATATTTTCTTTGATCTGCAATTTTCGATGCAGTACGTAATATTCAAATATCTATGCGTATATATCTGTAAAACAACAAGTGCCGAATAATGCCAATCAGAATCAGAGTTTTTTCCACGTGATTTACAGTCTGCCTATTATAGAAGACTAACTTCGCACTACAACGAGAGTTAATTTCGCCCATTTTTTCCCTCAAGGTTGCATAATTTAATTAATGTTTTATATTAGTTACAGCACATTTTCATTTAAAAGGGTCATAATTTGAGTACATTTTGATAGTAGTTATATAACAAGTAAATATTACTTTAATTTATTTTATGGTTGAGTTATTAAAGGTAAAGACGTTACATATACCGAAGACGATACCTGCATCATAACCGAACCGGTTCTGTTATTGAGCAGTGGTATTTTACTTCCATTTGTTTTCTTTTTTATTTTTAGAATAATTTTTTAATTTACAAATTTTTACACTTTACAAATTTCCTGTTTAAAGTGTTTGTTTAGAAAAATAGAGATAAAAATTATACCGAATACAAAAATTTTCCTACAATTTATTTGTATAGTGTAGAACAGGTGTGGTTAACATGAGGCTAGCAGGCCGCATGCAGCCCGCCGGGTGTCGTGTTGCGGCCCGCGGAGCTAGGTCAAATGAACATAAATGTTAACTTTATTGTTCATATCACCAAATGAACATTAGAAGAGTTAAGAAGGTTTGGAAGAGTTCTATGAAACGTATTTGGACAGAGATAAATATCCCGTGTTTTACAAACATGCTCTGTCGATGGTTTCGCTATGTGGAAACACTTATGCGTGTGAACAACTTTTTAGTCGCATGAAGTACATCAAACCATAAGTCAGAACACGAATTACTGATGTTCATTTGGAAAACTGTTTGCGTGTAGCGACAACATTAGTCGAGATCAATTTTGATGCACTTAGTTCTGTAAAACAAAGTCAGATGTCTCATTTTTAAATATTTTTAAATTGTCTAATAAATATGTTTCTCGGTTATTGAATAAGTGATTCTCAATTATGTTTAATTTTCTTCAAAAAAAA